CGAATTTCGAACAGAACAATTATTTATGTGGCCAAAAAATAATTTTCTGGGTATTTACCTTGTGAAATTTATGTAAGTTAACTGTCTTCACGATACAGGAGAAAATCCTAGTTTGGAGGTATTTTTTAAGAAGAAAATAATGTTATTCCATTAGTAATTTCTAAACTGAAGGTCACGCAATCAAAGCAGCGGTAATACTGTTAGTTAATAAATATATTTTGTAGACTTTTTATTATAAGTATAATGTAGGTATTTACACCACCAACAACCTCATTTTGTACTCCCACTAAAATTTTCTTTCCAAAAAAACCTAGTAAATTATTTTGGCTCGACTCGGGATTCGAACCTGGGGCCACCATATGATCGGTAGTCTTGCTTACGGCCACTAGATCAATAACAATAGAGAACATCTCTTAACGTGCTTCTAAACCAAATGTATTTCAATCTACTTAATATATTTCCAAAACCTAGATTTAAGTGTTTTGAATATTTGTGGTTTAAAATTTGGAACTGATGGCACCACGAGACCAAGAAAATAATACTTTATACCATAAGTTAAATTATGGCTTACTAGTAATTGGCCCCGGCATCGCACGGGTGATTTCTCAACAAGAGCTCCACCTACCGGGTCCAAATGTGAATTTGAATCATCAAGAGACTTAATGAAACACACAAAAAAAATTCATTAGAATCGGTTCAATCAGTTCCGAGTTTTATCGAAACTAACTTACAGCAATTATTTTTAACATATTTCATATTAAATTTAACTACAAGGAAACTTGTTTAACTTTATATAGTGATAAGTGTTCATAAAACTGCGGCTCATATTTGGAAAAACGGAGAACCATTTATAACAAGATTCCATATTACGGTTACGCCTTTGCATAAATTCAAGGCTTATGTAAAAATAAATCAGTAGTCTTGTTATTAAAGGACATTATGAACTAGATGATTATTTTGGATAAAAGTATTCTTACACTTTGTCTGGCACATATTAAATTTATAAGATTAAACTTAAACTTAAATTTAAACATTACATAAGATAAAAAGTTAAGGTTAAAGTACACTACATATGTCCCATATCTGGGCACCTGCCTACCCTCATTTCTGAGAGGTTTTTTATGCCAAGGAAATGTCCAAAGCGCTGCCCACCCCAGGAGGGTACAATCACCCCTGGCGACGGAGAATCCCTCGCTGAGCATCCACGACCAAGCACTCCCACTCTTCTCGTTGGCCCGCGTATGCTGGTTGGGGGGGCGCGAATAATACTGCTTGCGGCAAGCAGAGCAATAACACCAAAGCAACCCTTGCCACGCCTAGGGACGACTTAGAGACCCTTCAAGAAAAGAGCTTACTCTTTTCTAAAAGCCGGCAATGCACCTGTAATTCCCCATGTTTTGGCGGTTGTTCACGGGCGGCAGTTGTCACTTACCATCAGATGAGCCGTATGCTCGTTTACCCCTTCTTCTATAAAAAAAGTTATTAAACTAACACCAACTTCACACTATTCAGCGAAAAAGCCGCAAGATTTTAACATAGTCTGTTACTGGCACTCTATTTATTGTTACGAGCTTGAGGTTCGTGACAATAAAAACTGCCGATTTAATTACCAAAATTTACACTTTTATTACACATTGATTCACTTTATTACGCTCCAAAGCTTCGCTTGTCTCGTCAAATTCAATACTGCCCCAATCGCGGCTTGCAGTGGCTTTTAGAAGTTTTTTTTTACACCGAAACATCCAGAATATTCCAGTAAATACAGGCGCCAACCGACCAGACGCAGAAAGTTCGAGTGTGGGGCTTCTAGAAAGCTTAATTCTTCTATTCAATACTAGATGGCTCTGTTGGTCGAAAGTTCATTTATATTTTATAGGAAGCCCTCCTCGCTCTGGTCCCCGACACTAGATGGCGCTACTGCCTGTACCTGTACCTGACGTCAACTTAGGTGCGCAACATTATCAACGTTATAATTTGCAACCACAAATTTGAGCAATTTGTTACATATTGTACCTTTTTTTGTGGTTTCCGCCTGTGGGTATACCCCCACCGACAGGAGTATATTGGCAGTTTTCACAGTTTTGTTCAGTTTTAATCATTTTTTTATTACTTATTTCTATGACACATGGAGAAGGATACGCGTTTCTGCTATTTGATACATATTGCCTTCTTCTAATAATATAATTTGTTTAATAGTTTGAAATTTTCGTACATAGTTATTATTCTAATAAAATTATCATTTGGTTAACATAAATATTCTTGTGTTTTCGTAGTCACATCAGAAAAGAAAAATAAGAGTGATGAAAATACAAAAAGAAAGAATAAAATGCATTAAATACTAGAAACAAAGAGTAATCTTGAATCTAAGCAAAAAGTATAATATAATGACAATAGTGTATAAAATTAGTATAATGACAATAACATTTAAAAAAACAACCTAATTATAAAAATAAAGTAAAGTAAAAGTAAAGTAATATTAAATCCAAACACAGACAACGCTGTATAAAGATATCAAAAAAGTGCGGAAACAAACTCACAGGGTAATCTTAATGCTAAACATATTATAATAACAGTGGTATAATAAAATGATATAATGACAATGAAATTAATTGAAATAAATAATCTTAGTTCTAGGCGCATGAATAATAATCGTGAGCACAATAAGGTTGATAACAGTAAAAATTAAAATATTAAAATCTCAAAGGATCTTAATTCTAATGATAATCACACGTTTTACAATTACAACATATAATAATTATTAATTATTTCTAATAGAATAAATAAAGAAAACAAATTAAACAGAAGTGGTTGCTTATTTACTAACTATTACTATTACTATTTACAGATGCACAGTTCTTATTGAAGTTCTTAAGTCTTTTAAAAATGTTATTAACAAATTGAATGAAAGAGTCCAAAAGGGATTCCTTCTTCATTAATGCGGTTAAGTTAATGGAGGATTTCTTAAATTTTCAAAAAGTGTGACATGATTTAATCGTTGCACTGAAAATGCTGGGCAATGCTCCATGAGATGTTCCAGAGTTTGTGGGGTGACGTTATCACAAGGACAATGATTATTGTCAATTATTTTGCCGCGATAAATGTAGTCTTTGTGAAAACCGTGGTTGGTAAGCACCTGGGTGAGGTAAAAACTGGGTTCAGTGATAGTGCGTAACTTCTTGATATCCTCCAGTGATGGAAGCAGCCGTTTGGTATGTTGGCCCTGCTCTGCGCTATAATACATAGCATACCAGGTCGCGCGATTTTGAGTTCTGATTGTGTGTTTGAGGTACGAAATGGGAAAGGCCAAATAGGTTGTTTGCGCAACTTGGAGCCAGCATTAGCAGCCTTATCAGCTGCCTCATTGTCAGCTATGCCAGAATGACTCCTGACCCATCCCAATTCTATGATGCCTGTTTCTCGGTACTCGTGTATAGTTTTGTGTATGTGTGTAATGATGGGGTGTGTGGCTTCTGTTTTGTATAGCATGTATAGATGAGAGTGAATCCATACAGATGACTGTGTGTATATATTTGTGTTCTTTGATCCACTTTTTATTTTTTGATCTGCATGACAAATAGCTCCGCTAGGAATACTGTACACGTGTTGTGCAATTTAAACTTCCTTATGTAAGCCACTTGATTTAGATTAGTAGGGAGATAGCATACGAAAGCGGCTCCGATAGCACCGTCGTCCTGCTTACTAGCTTTAGTGAATATAAAATGTGTCGTCTGTTCAGATGCAGATCCCGTAGATGTGAAGTTTGTAAATATTTTAGGAATAAAGGAAATACGTTGGGCTGGATGCAGAATTTCAGAAACGGGAATTGGTTTTTCTAGAGGGATGTCGCTGGGGATGTAGTCAGAGGTACCCAGAAGCCGAGCTCTTTCCACAGCGTAAACTTCCCGCATTTTCAGGTCCAGAGGCATAAACTGGGCTAAGGCGAGGGCCGCGGATGAAGATACCGTGCGGAATCCCCTAATAGCCTTAATGGCAAATCCTCGCTGCATGCTTCCGAGTGCCCTCCTGATTCATCTTTTCTGGGCAACGTGTCCCCAAATTCCAGCAGCGTAGGTGATTGTTGGCACGATCATTTGGTGGTAAATGGTACTGATGTTCTCAGGATGGGCTCCCAATGTGGGTCTCGAGTACATACAAAGCATGTTAAAGATTCACACGGCCTTGTTGATAACATGTTTCACGTGTTTCCCAAAGTTTAGTTTTTCGTCTAAGATGACTTCCAACAGTTTAACCTCTGGCATAAAGGAAAGACGGTGTCCGTCCATGTTAATGCTGTGTACCTTAGCCTAGGGAGTGAAGGCAATGAGCTTAGTCTTAGTGGGACCGAAGGCCATCTTGACGCTCCTTCACAACTCGACTATATGGTGGAGAGCTAAGTTGGCAGCGCTCTCCAGCTCGCCGACACTCGCGGCCGTGACAAACAGAAAGGCATCATCCGCAAAAGCCTGTATGTGGCAGCCCGCTGGAAGCCTCGCATCAAGCAGCTCGTCTAGTATGATATTCCAGAGAACAGGCCCACACGTGGAACTTTGTATGCAGCCCTTAGACATCGTCTTGGTGACTCGCCTCCCCGCATAGTCAAGGATGACCTCCCGATCGCGGACATAATCCTGGATGAGTCCAAAGATGTTGTAAGGGCATTGAATATGCCACAACCGGTGAAAGAGTCCAGGCCACCAAGCGCTGTCGAAGGCTGCTTTAATGTCTAGAGATATCGCGATGCTGACGTGTTTTTCTGATTTGGCTGATTTAATTATTTTAAGAGCTGTGTTAATGGCTTCGCACGTGTTTGTCTGTTCCCGAAAACCGGACTGAAATTTGTTTAGTCGATTGTTTCACTACGCGTGGTATACGACCCTTTTAATAAAAAGCTTTTCCAACAGTTTGCAAAACACAGGTAGTCCTATTGGTTGAAAGGACTCTAATGCGCTGTAGTCGGACTTGCCCGGTTTCGGGATAATTTTTACGTATGCTGTTTTCCACTAGTCAGAGAAGTGTTGGGGTGTAAGACAACGGTTCAGTATATCTGTCAGAAGTTTAGGGTAATCTTTTGCAAATTGCAGACATATTATGTCGGATGTGAAGTTATCAAGTCCGGGAGCCTTCTTGGGGTTCATTTGTTTTAAGTACTCTAAAACCTCCTCCTGGGTGAAGGGAGGGTCATCGTGGGACTGAGGAAGGTCGGTTATTTCTGATCTGAGCTCGTGATGTCGCGTTAAGGTGTCTGGTGAGTCATCAGGGTAGAAGTGGTCAAGGAGTGCTTTGGCAGTCTCCTGGCTGTCTGTGGTGTAGGTGGAGCCCCTATTGAGGGTGACTGGTGGGCGCCTAGGCATTTTTGAGGAGTCTGTTCGTGAGTGACCAGACATTTTCCCTAGTTTGCAATTCGCAAAACTCACGAAAATGCCTAGTCGACTCCTCACGCATCTTATTTACGTATAGTTCCTTTTTTTGTTTCCTCGTTTCTAAAATATGTTCCAGAGGCATACCCTGGCGCTTGGCAGCGTGGAGCTGATGGTGTAAATCCACCACCTCCATTTTGAGGGTATCCAACTCCTCAATATGATCCATCTACCAAGGGGCCTTGGGCTTTGTTCCCCGGCTTTTAACATGCATGCTGGCTCGACATGCAGAGTGGATCATATTGGTTAGTTCGTTGATGATCTGTTCCAGATCATCGATGTTCAGGGTAGAAATGTCATGTTCGAGTATGTTTGTGAGTGTCATGAGTATGTGCAGTTTGTCCTTAAAGATAGGCCAACAAGCTTTATTAGATTTGTACAGCAAAGTAGAGTTTTGTTATGTGTGTGTGATGTAAGATGTGTCAAAGTCATGCAATAGTCTATTGCATTATGATGGGAATTGGGAAGTGACACGCCACTCCAAGATTTTATCGATAATGAAGCCGGAAGCAAATGTGAGATTGAGTATTGAAGGGCGATCTCGCCCGTGGGTGACCGTTTCAAACGTAGGGATCTTACCAACGTTGCATACATACATGTCACTGCTGTGTATTATATCTATAACTTCGTAACCCCTTGGGTTTGATTTTACGCTTCCCCAAATCGAGTGCCACCCATTGAGATCGCCCCCCACTATCTTATGAGAATCGTCTGTGTTTTTAAGAAAGACGTCAAGCTTATCAAGCGCATTTGATTCGTCGATATTGGGCTCCACATACATGGACGCAATATAAATATTGCGATTACCAAACGTAATTTTTATTGCGCAGAAGTTGGATGTAGAGTATTGCGATAGTCCCAAGATGGACCGGCATGCCTTAATCTTGTTGCTCGTGAAAATTGATATGTTTCAATTCCAAATGTTGATTTTACCTGTTCTCCAGAACCAATATATGGCTCGGAGATGAGGGCGATATCATAATCACCGGCCATAAAGGAGAGAAGAATCTCATGTTGCGCATTCTTACATCTGTCGAGGTTGCACTGTAAAATTTTTAATTAATTGTGTGTATCCATATTCAACATGATTATTTATCTTCTCCCTCATTGCTCACAAACGTGGGCAGGTGTTGGAGTTAGCCGTGTGTTTAGTGTCGAGATTAGTGTTGAAACGCGTATTGTGTATGTGGCAGTTTATGCATTTTGCGCTGTCGGTCTTATCCTTGTTAGGACAATTGCTCACATCGTGCTCTGTGCTCGCACAATGTGAGCAGAAGCTATGGTCCGCAGTGCACCTTAGTTTTGTATGGCCGAACTGCAGGTACCTGTGGCACTGGAGGAACAGCGAGAAACTAGCAACATGAACGCGCTGGTAATCGATGCTGATACGACCCATTGTTAACATTTTGCTGTATATACTTTTACCTTAGGATCAACTAAAAGAACCACGTTATTCAGGTTATTGTTCTTTATTCAGGTATTGTCCCGTTTAAACCTTAGCTTGAGACCCTCACCATCATCACTGATAATTTCGTTAATTTCCGCATTTTGCTGTTTAATAATTTTTAGAAGATCGTCTGCTGGAACATCCTTTGATATGCCCTTTAATATGACCATGGGTCTAAGTTTCCGTACGGGTTCAGCCTTAATTTCAGATTTTCCCTCGAGCCTCGTTAGAGTGTCATTGCGTTGGGTCTCCGTGTCGAACACGACACGCAACTTGTTGTTGGGCACAGGCTGAATACGAGCCGGTGCGTAATTGCCATTGCGGTAATTAATGTTTTTTTTTAATAATTTCACAGCCTCCTGGCGTGTCTTAACCTCGATGGTCGGGCTTACTATGATCGCCGGTTTAGTCGCTGGTGGGGAGTTGCGGAGGGCGATTAGCCCAGCAGGTGCTGGAGCCCCGTGATCAGCTGATGCTGCTTGTGCGTAAGAGGGCTTGTTGGCTGAGACAAGTTTTTAACACTGGAAATCTCCTCCCTCACACATGCGAGGATCCCATCCTTTAACTCGCTGTTTGATGTTGATGTGCTAGAGGAGGCGACCGATTTGATGGAAAGGAGAGATCGTGTGGCAGTTCTAATTTCTTCAGCAGCTTGGCTAATAAGTCGCGTATTAGCCGCGGTCACTCTCTTCCCTTCGTTTACCGCGGTACTAATGCAGGCGGCAAGTTTGCTAATCACCATATAAAAACTGTCTATGTCTTTAACCTCCTCGACTGAAACTGGGAGGGAGAGGGGTTCGCACTGTAACGGCGCCATTTTCACTCAACACACATATAATGTAAAAAGTTGGTAACACGAAAATAATAAATTATTTAAAAAAATGAAAATGTCTATTATATTATTGATATATACTTTTGTTTAAAAAGAGCATTTTTAATGTACAGAGATAATATACAATCAAAAATTATAGGAATAATAAGAATATAAAAAATTAAAAGATATTGAAGTTATGTAAAAGAAAAGTACTTGTTCAAAAAGATATCTGAAATTTTGCACTGTTATGCTATAAGAGTTCATGCACTTGATAGTCACTAAAAATAGGTTATTACTCATAATTTTATTGCAATAATTGCTTAAATGTACAGTACATACTTGGGAAAGAACTGCAAATGGGCTTGTAAAGTCCAAGATTATGATTTCCGGCTAAAACCGGATACGGTGTTTAGTAGCACAGGTCTCCTTCTTTGAAGCGACGTCTTCAAAATTTTCCGGAGACGTCTGGATTCAAAGATGGTCCACCACGTGGTTTTAGTAAAAACAACGATGCGTATTCCAGAAATTCCAATGTTTGGTGGGAAGTTGGAGGATCACAAGACGCACAAAACGACACCAAAAGAAAAACTATGTGTAACAGAGCAAAATCGTGCACCGCACGCGATTTATCGTTTTTTAGGTTACTTCATATAAGGAAAAATGGTTTTTCACATGATAAAGTTCGAAAAAAATATCGTCCGGCTATTTTTAAAAGCACCACAAGATAGGTCTCATTTAGATGCAACTTTTAAGACCAAAAACACTGTTATTAGATAACTTTTTTCCAATTTCCCGAATTTTAAGTGCGGAGTGTCGCAGTTTCGTGGCGTTCCTCTTACCCGACCCTGAGTACATACATATTGTAAAAGCGCTTACATACTTGCGAAAGTGCTTACAGAGTCAATTACGACCGAGTTTGAAAATATAGTCAAGAAAATAGAATATTTAAACATTCATTTTGTTTCAACTTTTTTATATGTAAACTATAATTGTCGAGAATGTAGAATAAATAAACCTATTTTTCTCCAAATGAAAACCTTAGCTGCACTGTTACATAATCGTCTGTTTTTGGCGAGTCAAAAGAACTTACAGAACACCCGATGGTTTAGAGCTAATACATCACATGTATACCTGCAATTTACTTGAAACAAAAAGACTACTATAACGTTATCACCTGAACCCTAAGATGGAATACTTAGCACATTATGGTAAGTTTACTGTTTTTCTGTATACACTTCCGGCTACACTGCTGTTTGGCAGCAAACACTTTGGGGCGCTGAGGTAGTTCTACTACATAGTAAGTGTAAATGAAAGGAAAACGAGGCTCTATTAAAAACAAAAATCTATTTAAAAACGTTGAACTAAAGTTTAATAGACTGTCGACGAAGAGTAGCATATTGGTGTAAGTAGCTATTAGCACCAACCAGCATACCTAGGTTGGTGGCAATAGATGAGGACTATGCTCTCACAGAATACAGAGAATGAGGGTGAAAAGCTAGCACACAGTCCACCTGATGGTAAGTGATGCTAAGACCATATTACTTATAGACTACATTCTAGATTAATTATCAAAATGCAGATGCGTTGTTACCTAAGGAACTAATGGAATGCCCCGTTTCCAGTAAAAAGAGTCTACGGATCTCTACACTCATCATATGAAATACAGTAGCTGCTATTTCACGCTGGTAATCCGTGAGAGCGTAGTCATTCCCTGGTCAAGCCGATTCATTCGTTTGCTTACCACGGTGCATGGTATTCGATGTAGGATTCAAATCCACGGCCCTCAATGTTAAGGTACAGTAACACGGAGCTTCCGATAGCTGTAAGCATAACCATCACCTTAACATCCGACAAAGAATACTCAGACAGACGGTGGATAGCAGCGTCATAGTTGTGACACGTCTAGTGCTTCATCTGCCAAGCGTGACGTTTTACGCAAATACTTCCTACAAAGGGAGAAGCCAATGTCTAGCATTGAACTCGTATGGAGCTTATGGAGGAAAATACTAGTTTACTTTTTTACATTAATGTACCCCAAGGCGTTTGTAAATACAAAAATAGAGAATGAAAGTACCATATCCATCGCATCGATAGCAACACTGATCCACATTCGTTGAAAAATTTAGTCAAATATTGGAGAGAAGATGAGTCCTAACATTTTGAATGTGTACGGATCATCGATGGACGTACTTATTCGAACAATTTGTCCTATCCAAACACACACGTCAGTCGTTTCGAGCACTTTGCTCCCTTCAAATACTGGCTAAGGCGTGACTTGTACGTTAAGCACGATCTTCTTTCTCTGATTCTTTGTTTTCTATGTTTATTTGTTGATGTGCAGCATATTGCTAAGTTTTAATATAGAAATAGAAATTTCGGATATTGACCGTAATAACGTTAAAAAGTGAAGTGAAGTAAATATAAAGCCTATACAAAAGTACGTTTTAAAGCTGTAGACATGCCTCTCCTTATTTTTGAGAGCTTGTAATCTACTTATAATTAGCGGTGAAGAGTTTCGGGTATATACAATTTCAAAGAACGGTTTTCTGCAATTGAATAGGTTTTTTATTGTGTCAATCGGATAGTTGTCGTAGCATGAACAAAACGTTAGCTTGATACAGTAAGTCATTTAATCTGGAACTGCCAACATTTTATGTTTTTTTTTCTTCTTTA